GCGCGGCGGGGAGCGCGCAGGGCGGCGAGGAGGCGCGGACTGGGTTCCGCCCGCAGGAGAACAAACAGGTTTTCTCCTGCGCCCGGAGCCTCACCCCTCGCCCCTCCCCTCGGCCGGCCCTCTTCCTCTGCCCTCTCCTGGGGTAGGTAGTTGCGCCTGGCACATTCCTCACATTCTCCCGCCAGTGTCCTCGGCCCGCCCTCCCCTTCCCGGCCCCGCCCTGCGGGGCTGCTGGAGAAATCAAGGCCCGGGCTCCCTGCACCGAGCCTGGTGCGAGCTCCAGAAGGCTCTGCCGCCATGGAAATCTGCCAGGCAAATTCTTCTGGGCTCGCGGCCCCGGGCTGGCAGGCCTCCGCCACGTGAAGGGCCCCGGCTGCCTAGTTGCTCCCCTGCCCGCGCCCTACGCGATCTGGCCCCCGCTTGGGGCCGATGACTTCCACAGATGCTGCGGGTTAATTCTGTCGAAAACTACTGTTCCTAGATCCATTTTACAGATGGAGATCCCAGACAGGGGCGGGGAGGGGGCTGGGGGCTGTCGGCTGAGATCATGCAGGAAGTCCTAGAGGCTGGGAAGAAGAAAGTGAGAGCGCCTGCTCCCCGGCTGGGCCTGGGAAGTTCTCGCCATGGAAAGCCATCCTGGGGAGATGGGGTTTCCAAGGCCCAGCCTCGAACACCCCATCAGCAAGCCAGGCCACCCCTCAAGCTGGGTGGGGAGACACATCCAGACTCAGAGGGCCAGTGCTGTTTGATGAGTGGCATTCACTGTTCCTTTTTGAGTATTTGTGTCATTGTCATGCTTGCTGAGTACTTGCTCTGTGTAAGGCACTGGGCTGGGGGCTGCAGCACAGAGTTGGCCGTGAGTTGGCCTACCAGGATGACAGGAGCAAAAGGAAAAGAATGGACTAGCAGGTTTTTCTTCATCAAGCCCTGCCAGATCTATGTCCCAAATGGCCCTCCAATCTATCCACTTCTCTCCACGCTCACTGCCCAGGTCTCGGCTACAGGACCAGTCCCCTCATTGGTTTCCCTGCCTCTGGTCTTGCCTTCCTTCCCATCCAGCTCCACACAGGTCAGTGTAAAACTTTACACATCACTCCACTGCTTGCAGCTGTTTGATGGCTTCCCATCATTCTCGAGATAAAAGGCAAAGTCTTTGAGGGGCCCTAGGATTCAGCTGTGCTGACCTCTCCCTGTAGGTCCAGCCACCGTCTCCCTGGATTCCAGCCACACTCACCTCCTTCTGCCTTCTGAACATATCTCAAGTCCTGTCTCCTTGAGGCATTTGCTCCTGGCACTCGGACTCCCTAGATTGTCCTTTGTCCCCTGGTCTGGTTAGTGAACTCTTTGTCATTCTTCAAAACTTAGTCAAGTGTCTGTAAATCCTCTCCTGACTGCACAGGCCACCCAGGTGAGTAGATCACTTCCTTCTGTGTGCTCCCCCAGTCCCTCTGACTACATCGATCTAGCATAGTGGCTGTCACCTTTTATTGTTCTAGATGGTGAGCTCCGGGAGGGCAGGGCCCTGTCTGAGTCATCACTGGGGCATGCATGGGGACCAGCATTGGGGGCTGGGGGGACTGAGAGGTGAGGGAGACTCTGGAAGCTGTACTCTTTCCTCTGGGGCTTTCTCAGATAGGGAGGAAGCAGCCCTGTGTATGTTTGAATATGTGTGTGTGGGATGGGGCTGGAGATTGTGTGTAAAGTCACTTCAGTTCATCTGTGTCTCTTGCCAACAAACATTTTCCTGCTTCCAGTCTGGTGGCCAGCATCTAACACCTTCCTCTCCCCTATGTCAGGCTGCTGGTGGCCATGAATTTGGCTTGGCATTCTAGCTCCTAAACATCCTAGATCCTAGGGTGTGTTACACGCTCTCTCTGGGCCCCCTTACCCTTCAAGGGCCCCTAGGTTAAACCGGTAGCAGGTAGAGGCCACCAGTGGGAAATGGCAAGCTCACTGCAGAGCAGTGAGTCCAGGTGAGCCAGCTGGCGAGTACGAGGAAGAGTGGTGTCCAAGGCCACCGACGGCCAGTCAGCAGCAAAGGCTACCTGGGTTGGGCTGCCTGGGGGCCTCAAGCTCTTCCCATATCCCAGGTGAGTCAGCCCCTTCTGGGTCCGACCTGCCATGGCAGAGCCAGCCAAAGGGACCAGCCTTTCCTTAACTCCGCCCTCCCTGCCAGGCTGCCAGGCCCTGCAGCTGATCTTGCCTGCAAACGGGTTTGACTCGAATGGTAACTGCCTTGCCCTACCCTGCCCTGCCCTGCCCACCTGCTCACTACCCCAACAGAGCCCCACCCCTCCGGCCAGGGCCACCCCTAGCCACCTTAGCCAGACTTCAAGGCCCCTGCCAACTTCATCAGCCTCCTCTTTGACTCCTTGCCCTCGGGCAGGTGGGCCCAGACACACCAAGTGCTCTAGTGGCACCAGGCCCCACACAAGATGTCCCCTTGGTGGTGAGCTCTCATCCACTCCCAGCCGCAACACTGCCTCCTTCATGAACTTCCCTTTTGCTTAGAACTCAAGGGCCAAGACCCTGGTGGCTTCTGGCTGCTCCTAGACTGAGCACTACCCCTGCCTGGCCTGAGCTGGGCTCTGTCCCTTTCTACTCTCAGATTCTCTTGTACCTTGCCCCCATCTCTAGCTCCAAGGCTGGCCATCCCCCCAGGCTCTGGTGAAGTCCCCTTGAAGTCCTCCAGCTTGGGCAGTCTCCCCATGACAAGCAGGCCCTCAGCAAGGCCCTACTCTGAAGACACAGATGCTCCCTTTAAGGCAGGTGGGCTTGCGGGTGGAGCCAGGCTGGGCCCCCTGGGGAAGCAGGAGGCCTGGAAGGTAGAGGCAGGAGTGGGTGGTGGTGACTTCCCATGCTGAGGGGAGCCACGACCTGTGAGCAGACAATGGAAGCCAGGTTGAAGCCAGCAGATGAGTTGAGGGACAGGTGGCCATTTGGAAAGAGCTGGCCAGCAGTGCTCCTAAGCTCCGGGAAGGCCCCGTCCTGATCTCCAGGCCTGGGAACAGAACTCAGGCAAGCTAGTCTAGCCGAAGGGTTCCCAGGTTAGGAAGGGGGATGATGGGTGGGGCCCTGAAAACCATCAGGCCCCAGAGCCAACCCAGGCAGAGTGTCCTCACACGAGAAGCGACCAGAGATGAACAACTGATGCACACCCTGCCATGTGCAGACTGGGAAGCAGGTCCAGAAAGGGACAGCATTTAGTGGGGGCCGCAAAGCCAGCCTGAGGCCGAGCTAGGACTGGAACCGGGACTCCAGTTGCTCTGGATGGAGCCCCCGCCCCACTGGGGCTCTTGGGTGCATGTGTAGGGAGGGCCTGGCTCCTGTTTGCACCCTAATCCCCTTCTTTCCCCTCCTGCTAGGGCCCGCCCTGCCACGTCATCCTCCTAACTTCTCAAGCAGTTTCCACTTGCTGGGTGACTCCACTGGCTCCAAGCAGGGTGGGTCCCTTGGGGGCAGGGGTCCCCAGTCGTGATTGCACCCACAATGGCCTCTACAGAGCCCCAAACCTGCAGGCCAAGCCTCTGAGTCTGTAACCAGCTCTCCAGGTTGCTGGGAGCTGGTCCAACTCTGCAGTGCATGGAGGGAGACCCCGCCTGCCCAGTCTTGCCTTTGGGGCCCCTGCCCCACCCTCAACCTGCACTCCCAACTAAGGGGCCTGTCCCTTTTCCTGTCGCACACACATATCCTCACTCACTGAAGGCCCCCTTTGGGACCTCCTGTTCCCCACCGTACTGCCGCCCCCGCCCCACCCAGAGACCAGTCAGACCCAGCCCTGGAATGGAGTAATAACTCCCAGTGTGGTGGGGAAGGCAGACCAGTTTGGCTCCAAGGGGCGGAATTCACACCTGAGGATTTCTTGCTCTGTGGACAGTAGCCCCACCGGGAGCAGGGAGGTTGTACAAGCAGGCTCCCCCCAGCCACGTGGCCATCTACCAGACCTGCAACCTGCCCCCCCCACCGCCTTTTGAATCTACTCCTTTGCATAAGCCCAGGAAACACTCAGCGATCAGTCTTGGCCTGTGTGACCTGATGCCCCAGAACGCAGACTGCCTTTTGTCTCTGGCTCCAAAGCAGCCCCAGGCCAGGCCTCCAGAGCACGAGTGCACGAGCTGAGCCAAGTCCCCACTGGCAGATAATCCCCACATGCCCTGAAGAATGGCTTTTCGCTGCTTTCAGAATCATCCCCAGATCGGAAAAAGAATGTACTAATTGGAAAACCTCCCCGCCATGGTTTTCCGGAGTTTTAGTACAGTTGGCCGGCAAGGAGGCTTCTGGGATGAGGAGGAAGGGAAGTCATGAGGAGGAGACAGTGGGCTTGCTGCCCAGCACCCCCTCATCCCCCGAGCTCAGAGCTCAGCCGCTCTTGGCCAGGGGCCATGCTGAAGGTCCCAGCCTGTCAGCAGCCTGGGGAATCTGGAGGCTGTCTGACCCTGTGGGGAGCCCTTCCCCCAAGCTGGGCCCAAGCCCCGCCCCCAAAGGCCCGCCTTTGCCCCAGAAGCAGCCCAGGCTCCTGGGACCCTTCGACAGGACCCATGCCCGTTGGGCCTGGTTAGAAGAGGAAAGGTGTGGAAGCCACCACCTGCTGAAGACACAGGAGGATGCCCCCAGACCTGACCTGGGCCCCAGGCTGGGAGACCCAGCAGGTGGGTGCAGGCCACACAGCAAAGCTGACTTCTGAACACTAGCTCTGTCCGGTGGCAGAGGCCCAAATTCTCACTCAGGGGACCGGCTAAGCCTGACCCAGCTAAACCACTGGTCGGGGGAGCCGAGGCCACAGCGATCTGAAGGTCTGTCCACCTCCAAGGGCGGCTGATTTGTTCCTTTTGGTCAAGCAGTGCCCTTGCACTTAAGAAGGGGAAATGAGGTGGATCCCTGACAGGCCTCACACAGGAGAGGCAGGCTACTATGACTCA